TGTGAGCCTGTGTTCATGTGATACTGATCTGAAATCCATTGTTCCAGGCTCGCCAGCCATCATGGATCCTCTGTTGGAAGCCACCGGCACCTTTGCCTTAAACCTTCTGAAAACGCTGGGTGAAGACAGTTCAAAAAATGTGTTTTACTCACCCATCAGCATGTCCTCGGCCCTGGCCATGGTCCTCATGGGGGCAAAGGGAACCACCGCAGTCCAGATGGCTCAGGTACCTGGTGTCCTTTGGGAGTAATAGTAAATGCTGATAATTGTCAATTGAGCTGATTCTCCACACTTCAAATCCCAAAGGGATTGCTGTGGATGGATATCAGAGGGTATCAGACGGGTGTGGTTGGAGAGTTCACAAGAAGCACATGCTACCCCTGCTGAGCACCCCTGTGAGCACATTGCAGTCCCTGAACTGTAGCAATTTCCAAACCTAGTCAGGTGTGTGTGCCAGGCTCTTCTGCCCTCAAGGTGGGAATATTCCTTGATTGGCTCCACCTGGGTTTCCTGGGACTCATTCCTTGTCCTTCACATGTCAGGCCATGGCACTCCCCTGTGCATTCTGGGCTTAGCGCTTGACAACTCCTGTCCTTTTTCAGAAGAAATGGGTCATGCTTCATGTTTGTTGCTCTCTTAGCCTTTCTCCTGCCAAAAGAGAGTTGAGGACCCAAGGGTACCCCTTCACACTGAACTGTCTCATGTTTTAGTTTCAATATTTCATAATTCCTTTAAAACCATTGTAGGATTTCTGTGTCTTAAGTTACAGCCTGCTGCACTGGACCAAGCCACATGCACAAGCCTGTTTGAGACAAGAATGTGTAAGGTTGGAAGTAAGGGTGCTGCGGGGCAATGTCCATGAGTTGCTAAGAAGCCCCTTTGTCTACAGGTATATAAGATGCTGCCTTTGTTGTCCCAAGGTTTTTACAAAGTGGATCTTGATCTTGCTCCTGAGGCCATGGATCGGAGCTCTATCTTGCGGCCATTTCTTAGGTTGAGAATTATGTTGTCAACTGGAGAGGGGGGAGATATGAAACACCTTTATGTTCTACCCATTAAGACCTGGGTTAGAAATAGTTCCTTTAAATTCTGCTTGCAAATGCAATAATTCTTTCTCTTGCTCATATCTCTCTTCCCACACTCTAAGTTAGGCAGCTGAAAGGAAGATACATACTTCCCGAACATCTTAGATAGCTATGGGCATTCACTGGGAATGTGTCCTATCTTACCTCTTGCTACAGGTGAACATGTGCACTTCTCTGGCCAATGCCTACCTTATCACCTACCTTACCTCTTTTTGCAGACTGCGGTAGTAATTTCATCCCTGTCCCTCCAGCCTCTGTCAACTGCCTATGTCCAAAGCCAGCAACAAGTTGTTTATTTTTTTATGATGGAACACTTCTGCATTGGTGCACATGTTATCTGTTGCTGCAAAACAAACCATCCCTCAGCTTAATGGCTTGAAATAATAATGATTGATTTTTTTCTCAGATTCAGTGGCCTCAGAGGCAGTTCTTATGCTTCCCATGATGACAGATGGGGTCACTCAGGCTACTTTTGCAGTAGACAGCTGGATTGCAAGGTCCAAGGAGGCTTCTCTCACATGTGGGGTCTTGGTGATGGGTATTGGCTGGGGCTTTGGTTCTCTTCCCAGCGACTCAGCCTGTGTGGTAGCAAATCCTCCAAGGGGATACCTTGGACTTCCTTACATCATGGCAGCAGGGTGCAAGAGAGTGAACGTGACAGCTACAAAGCTTTATAAGGCTCTGGCCTGGACAGTATTGCTTGTGCTGAATTCTGTTGATCAGAGCCTTCACAGACCTAAGGGCAAGAAGAGATTGCACCTTACAATTTTCTGGAGCATCCTGTGTTTGCAGAGATGGGAGGTCTGGTTGTAACTCTGTCTCAAGTGAGGCTCCAGATAAAAAGAGCCTGGGTTGTGGAGAGACATTTCTGCTCAGAACAATACTGACAGGGTACAGAGAAGGATCCTGGGAGGGACACTGGAGAGTGAGCTTTCAAGATACTTTTTGTCTCTAATTGTTTGGTGGTAAGAATCTGCACAGTTCTCAGGCCAAGTTTAGTATAGTTTGCTTGTTCCCTGTAGTCAGGGCCTACTGCAATGTTGTATTTTTGTTGTGTTTCTGATTTTAGGCACTTTCTTTAAATAAAAGCAGCAGCAGTGGAGGTGGAGATTTGCACCAGGGCTTCCAGTCCCTTCTCACCGAATTGAACAAGACGGACACAGAGTACTTGCTTAGAACAGCCAACAGGCTCTTTGGAGAAAAGTCTTATGATTTCCTCTCAGTAAGTCATACTCGCTGCATTTGATGAAGCAAGGTGGTGGGGAGAAGGGGAACTCGTGGTGCAGCTGAAAGAGCCTGGGCTGTGAATTCACTCAGGTTTCTGGTTACTCATGTATTTGTTCAAACCTTTTCATTTAAAAAATCAGAAAACTACTCAAGTCACAGGTGAGTACATTTTTGTGCAGAATACAATAAAGCCAGCAAAGCAAGAGCCACATCAACCTCTTTCCCACAACCCATCATCCCTCCCAGAATAAGAGCTTTCATAGATTTGACATGTATACTCCTGCACATGTAGTGTTCTTGTTTTGTAGTAATTTTCTCTGCATTATGCCTTTATCCAATACACGTTGTTTTGAAATACATTTCTCTTGTTCTTCCCATCTCAGTGTATGTGGATCTACTTCAGTGTTGTTATCATGATCATCATCATCACCATTATGTGGCACTGGGGATTGAACCCAGGACCTCAAATATAAATAAGCATGAGCTCTACCACTGAGTGCATCCCCAGCCTATATCACTATTATGAACCATCATCTGATAATTCTAAGTTGGACACATTGTAACATAGAAAGCTATTTGCTCATGGATGGACTTTAGGTCAGACCCAGTCTGGGCCGTTACAGACAGTGTTATTGACTGTGACTTTGTGCATGTATAAGTGTGTGTGCTGCTCCGAGGTGGATTTGTGGAGGGAGTGGAAATAGACCTTTGAGATTTCAATATATATTACTCAATGTCTCTCCAAAGTGATGTATCTGTTTCTTTCAGGGATATAAGCAGAATGTTGGTTTCCATCTACCATGATCAACACTGCATATTTGTAGCTTTTGAATCTTGATTACTTATGAGATTGAACTTAAGCCCTTTGAGCATAGACAAACTGAGTATCCATAATCCCAAAATCCAAAATTGTTAAGTGTCAAAATGTAAAATACTTCAGCGCATGTATATTTTGGGATATTCAACCTGTATATGTTTTCTGCACGTTGTTTATTTACATATTCTGTGCACCTTTTTCTATTAATCTGTATTCCCTTTTCTTATTGACTTATAAGAGTTTTTGCGTGTGTGAGATTTCAATGTTTTCTATGATTTTTTTTCTCATTTTTGAAACCTGTTTTAAACTACATTAATTGTTCTTAAAGGAAGTGATATAAAATGAACATTAGCAAGCATAGGTTCAAATATTGGTAACAACTATTATCACAATATGATTTTTTTATAATCTGTTTTACTTATTTAATTAGTCTTAGCTACTTTATAGGTATCATCACCCTCTTTAAGCCTTTTATATGTACAGAAATTCCAACACACTCACATGATTGGCTGATTTAATTTTCTTTCATGTTTGTGGATATTTTAAGAAAACTATTGATATTTAAAAATTTATATTAGTATATAAAATAAGGAGATTAGAAATATTTGCCATTCATTAATTTAAACTTCCAAAAATTGAATACCAACCATGATGTATAATTACATATTTCTTGAGTTTGATTATTCATTGTTTGTATAATAGTAACTTGAATAGCAGGTAGTTATTTCCTAGGGTGTTTAAAAGTTGTAAAAATCACCCACAAGTGTGTGGCAAGTTATCAATATTTGAGTGGCCAGTTTGCTTTCAGACTATTTTCTTAGATTGAACAATTTAAAATTTTTCAGAAACAGAACAATGAAATTGGTAAATCAAGAACTCTGTGAGAATGAAATGGAATGATACAGGAAGTTCTCCTTTTAAGTGCCCACAATATGTTGAGAATTCAGTAACATCAGATAAAGTAGTAATAATGAAAGTAATTCAGCTGGGCCTCAAAGTAACTCTGGGAGCTTCATACAGCAGTGCTGTCTCATTTCCAGGGCAAACCAAGAGGCAGAGACACTAATTAACCTTTTTAAGGCCACTCAGCTAATAAATCAAAGAACTTGTGTTCCTAACACCTGTGTCTGTGCAATACTGAAGGAGAAATGTGAAATCTTGCCTTATAACAAGAAATCAAATATTGAGCCGTAAGTTGTTCAAAAGGAAGATTAGGAAATAATTTCATAGTACATTGCCAATGTAATGAGTTTTAAGCACACTTATATTCCACAAATTTTCTATTTTAACATGGTAGAATGTATATGTTCATCAACGTCATTATCATTTCATAGGATATATTAGTAAAACACTTTGAACCTCTTTTTCCTTTCTTTTTTTGTGATTCTGAGGATTGAACCAAGGGCTTTTCCTATGCTGGGCAAATGCTTTACCACTGAGCCGAATCACTACCCTGGTCATTTTTTGAGAATTGCTTACTACCCCAAACTGAGATGTTCAGCAGCACTGGCAATCTCTAGACACATATAATTAATCAAAATAAAATAAAAGAGAATATTCAGTTCTGCAGCTGCACTGACCTGATCTCAGGTGCTCTGTAGTCACTGTGACACCATTTTTGATGGTACTCATTTTTCTGTTATCACAGGAAGTTGTGGTGGCAGGATAGTGCAGAATGGCTCATTTTCCTATGTTCTTCTTTCTGTGTCCATGTCCCTTATTCCAGAGTGCAGAGGAGTGGCAGCTCTTGCTGGGTTAACTTTCTCTCCACGGTTATTGCAGCTCAGCTTCCTCCCAGTTACCTCTTGAGGCTCAGCAACTCCCATAAAGATCCAGCCATTCATGAAATTTATTTGATATTAGGGACATTAAGAATGGCCCAAAACTGAGAAGGTTGATTTTATGTTCATTCTACGTATTAATTTGTAAATTATCTCTAAATCAGCACATTATTGAGTTTCTGCTTTGGTACATGAAAGAAGTACACTTGTTAATTATTTTGGAACCATGCAATTATGTTGCTCTGCCTTAGTCTTTTAAAGATTCCTGCCAGAATTTCTACCAAGCAGAGATGGAAGAGCTTGACTTTCTGAATGCTACAGAGGAGTCCAGAAAACACATAAACACCTGGGTAGCTAAAGAGACAGAAGGTAAAAACATAGTTTTTATTTGTTGTTTCTGGTGATGGTGAGGTTGTTGTTGCTTTGCTAGTTCCTTTGTT